CGGGGTGGGAATCGGTCATCCATTATAGCCATCTCGTCACGCTGCAGATCATGCAATAGGCGAGCAATGTGCTCCAATGTTTGTTGACACTCGGCTTGCCCAGGAGCGTTTAATCTGTAGGGATGAAAATGGCCTTCGAATGAACAAAAAGTACATTGAAACAGATCACAATAAAGGGAGAGTGGACAGAGCATCTTACTTGAGGACGCTGACTAGTTGTTTGATGCTGTCGGAGAGGTCGCGACTGGCCGCGGAAAAGCTCATGAAGGAGGAGTCAGCAGACTCATTCTTGTTTTGAGCCGCGTTGACCATATGCTTCGATGCGATCAAAACTGATCTGCTGGCCTCCAGACAGGAAATACCAGCGGTGCATAATGGTTTTTGTGACTATAACAAAACAAAGCGAGGACGTTCAGGAGAATGTAGTCAAGAGTAAGATCACGGGGAAACTCAGTAGCTAATCTGGTTTTTGCCGAAAATTGCCTTTAAAAAAGCTAAGTGTGGGTGTCTACGCTGTCGCAAAAAGCCCTGCTAATACTATTATTCGGTTCGATTACTAACTTCGTGGGCTTCTGCTGTAATCCTCGCTGGATGCCCTGCAAACTGAGGTCCACATGTAACGAAACGAACCAGTTGAGACACGTGAGTGTTGACCAGGTGCGCATTATTGGCTGTTGCTCGTTTTCCCTCCTCCGACCAGTCCGCGCTGCGTCTGATCAATTCCGTAATGCTCTGCATCGTCTCCTGAGTCAGCGTCTTCAGTTGCCTACGCTCTTCCGCACTGGTCGCCTGCGCCGATATAGCGGTGCATTCATCGCAAAGCGTGCGCAAATTTGCGGAAATGTCATTGGCCAAACTGACGACCTATCAGATTAGAGCAAGTGGGGTTACTTAAGGCCGGAAATGGATAAGGCATAGGGGAGAGGAAATCAAGCAGTCCACAACCACCAGCTCTCAAAGCAGGGACGAATCAAGTTTCAATTGTATCAAAAATAGGGTAGTAGAAGGGATGAATTAGGACAGATTAGCATTAGATCATTTTGAGTAAGAAAGCGGAAAATTTCGTCATCAGCCGCAGTTAGGTTGGTGTGTATATCATAAGACGACGAAAGCGTGTAACCTCCACACCAGGTCCCATAAATTAGGGCTGAGCAAATTTAGACAAAATTTATTCAAAATGGAAGGTGGGGAGCGAAAGGAAATCACCAAACACACCAGACAGAATAAAGCACATTAATTTGAGCACCGGGTGAGGAAGGAGCGTTAATTGAGTATCTGGCCAAAATTCAACTTACACGAGCTCGATCCTATAAACAACGATGAGAGAAAATGCGCAAAATAATAAGAATGCCTTCAAGGCAAAACCCGGCGTATTATGGGTAGAATGGAGAGAAAAAGGGAGCGAGGAGAAAGAAGAGGAAGTCGGTACCTGGCGTTCCGTGACCTGTGGACTCGTCATAGCCTTGCAGGAAGCCTGGATCTCCTGTTGAATTCGTTCGAAAAGAGCCCTGTCGACAGGACTCTTGCTTCCTGGTTCAGATTTGGGATGGGCGATGCCAATCAAATAGGCAGCCTTTTAAAAACAGGAAAGAGAGGAGGGAAGTAGAAGGACCAGGATATACATGGTTCCTTGAAAATACTAGAACAAAGGCAGTGCCTGCGGTCTTCGTCTTACCTGGGCTGTTTCCTCAATTAGCAGACAAATAGAGTCAGTTGTCTGCTGGACGTGGCCGCTGAATTGGTCGGCATCGTTTGCATTGACGGCAGTAGAGATGCCACGCAGTCCGTCTGCCAGAGGCTAGAATGCAAGTGGAGATTAGTAATAAAAGAGGGAAGGAGTGCACAAACCACTGTCGATTGGGCGACTGCTTCAACAC